TTGCTGTTGTTGTTGTTGTCGTCGTTTTGTGGCTCTTCTTGTCATGCTGTTGTTGTTGTTGTTGTTGTTGTTGTTGTTGTTGTCGTCGTTGTGTGGCTGTTCTTGTCATGCTGTTGTTGTTGTTGTTGTTGTTGTTGTTGTTGTCGTTGGGTGGCTGTTCTTGTCATGCTGTTGTTGTTGTTGTTGTTGTTGTTGTTGTTGTTGTTGTCGTCGTCGTTGTCGTTGTGTGGCTGTTCTTGTCATGCTGTTGTTGTTGTTGTTGTCGTTGGGTGGCTGTTCTTATCATGCTGTTGTTGTTGTTGTTGTTGTTGTTGTTGTTGTTGTCGTTGTCGTTGGGTGGTTCTTCTTGTCATGCTGTTGTTGTTGTTGTTGTTGTTGTTGTTGTTGTTGTCGTTGTGTGGCTGTTCTTGTCATGCTGTTGTTGTTGTTGTTGTTGTTGTTGTTGTCGTTGGGTGGCTGTTCTTGTCATGCTGTTGTTGTTGTTGCTGTTGTTGTTGTTGTCGTTGTCGTTGGGTGGCTCTTCTTGTCATGCTGTTGTTGTTGTTGTTGTTGTTGTTGTTGTTGTTGTTGTTGTTGTTGTCGTTGTCGTTGGGTGGCTCTTCTTGTCATGCTGTTGTTGTTGTCGTTGTGTGGCTGTTCTTGTCATGCTGACTTTGTTTAGAATCAAATTTTCTTTATTGCATGAAATGAAAGGAGGTTGTTGTTTTTTCTTATCAATGTTTCGTTGAGGGTTTTTGATTTGTTTTGTTTTGTTTGTTCAGCATCAAACTGTTTTTTTTCTGGGGTTTTTTTTTACAATGCCAGACTAGAATGGCATGGACAAGTGAAAATATGTAAGGTTTTAGAGTTTCTCATACGAGTTGACCGTAAATCTACTCAATCTTTGACTTCTGTATTCTTAAAATAAACGAGACTAACAGCTTACATTGCATTCTCTCACCACCTACTCTTCAACAACGGTTTTTTTGGAGCCCGTGGTCAAAAGAGGTGTGAGGCAGCGTGGTGAAATCATGCGCTCGTCAAAGTAATCAAAGTGAAGAAACTGGCATTTTGACGTAGATTTGTAAATTTTTTTTATCAAATTTGTGTTTTTTTGGCTCAACATTTTCCATGCCCATTAAAGTGCAATTTTTTCTGTGTGGACTATACTGGGGAAAAAATCGACTAAAGGCACTAAAAAAATGTTAATTTTCAGTTTCCACGACCTCTCAAGCTAAGGAAATAACTAATCGTTGGCGGCTCTTTTCTCACTAATTTTACCTCTGAAACCAGATGACCCCACCTCCTTCATTCGCAAATATCTTGACTTCTATTCAAGATAAATGGATATTTTCTAAATCCAAAGCAAGACGAATAAGCAAGCTTCAAAATGATACCAATAACTCCACTCGCCCAAAAATTGGCGAGAGCCTGATTCCACCGCGTCGTAACACAAATGATACCTGGAGTTTTTGTATACCAAGGTGAAATATTACGCACTTCTGCCACGTATCATATAAAAACCACATGCTCACTCATTCACAACACAAACGCGTAATAATATGCATATTGTTACACAGGCACACGCGCACACACAGACATACACACTCACACACACATACACACACACACACACGCACACACACACACACACATACACACACACACACACACACACACACACACACACACACATACACACATACACACAGACATTCACACATTCTCAGTCTATCTATAGTATGTCTATCTTGCTATCTATCCATCCATCTATGCATAGCATTTACTTCCGTCCATCT